ACCCCAGCTCTCAGATAGGCCACAAATAGGGACACGGCCATGATCTCCCGTGATCTAAGATGGCTAACCCAACACATGGCACGGGCCCGACAGAACAAACAGAAACGGAAAAGACAATCAACATTATCAATAACGAAGCTCTCAAGTTTTTAATAGAGAAGACGAAGGTGCAGGGCTGGAAAGCAGATCGTGGATGGCAGGGAAGAGGAAGTGATCATATGGAAGTATCCAGAAGAAAAGGTTGCTGAGCTGGACGACTTACATGAAAAACACAGAGTAGTGTTCAATTTCGCATGCCATGGGGCAGACCTCCAGCCAGCAGAAAAAAGGAAATGGGTAATCGAGACGATCAGAAAGGAACCAAAATTGAAACAGATTGGGGACACGTTTTCGCTGCAGAGCCTGGGCCGCAACAGCATGATGGTACTCTGCATCCACGAGGACCATGCAAGGATCGCAGCGGAAATGCAATCCAGGAACTGCCACGGTTCAGTCTGCACGATCACTAGATGGAAGAAACGTTCAATCCAAAGGCAGAACCCGGTGTTTGCAGTCTCCTACAAACAAACCCTGATGAAAGAAAACTTCTGGGTACAATTCGACAACATCCAACCGGGCTTTCACGGCATGTTGGTCGACAGACTGGAAAGACAATACACAGTGAACAAAATTCTGAAATGGATCCTACCGACACCAGAATTCCTGGCACCCCACTGTGGATCTATGACAGCGATTCTTGATGTTCAGACAGACGATCCCCCTGTATTTCCGCTGGTTTGGAAGTTCCAAATCGAGAACAGGCTGATTGAAGTAAGAATCTCAACCAGAAACTCTCCAATCTGTTTTCGCTGCAGGGAAAGGGGCCATCTGGGGACCGACCCCACGTGCCCCAAGTTTCCAAAACAAGCAAAGGAGCGGAAACTCCTACCAAACATGTTGGTAGAAGTGGAAGACGCACCTGGAATCTGGTTCGTGGCAGATCCATCATATGATGGATGACTCTTTGATGACAACCTGGACGAGCCAGACTGGGTGTGGCATTTTGGTGACCATCATCATACGATGGATGGGTCTTTGATGACAACCTGGACGAGCCAGACTGGGTATGGCATTTTGGTGACCAGAACCCATCTGTCAAAAAGCCAGACATCTTCCCCCCAGCAGACTGTAGGTGGCAAAAGAAGGCGACCGGAAAAGTGAGAGGCAACCCGACAAAGATCAACACCAATCCCATCACAGACTCACGGGTTATCAGGGAGGAGAAAGCGAGGGAAGACCTGTTGTGGGACCTTGATACCATCAGGGAACAGATCGAACAGGAATTTAACAAGGAACCATCCGCGTTTAGGGAAGCGCTGAAACAAGCGGAACAAGTGGATCTGCAAACATACAAGAGAAGGGACAAAGTTCAGGCTGACAACAAGCACCAACTACATGAGGATGATGGATCGTTAGAGAAGGGGATGGGCCCAGAACGAAGGAAGGCGGGGGAGTCAACTGAAGAAAAGGGAACAGAAACGTCCGAAACAGGGGTGGAAGGAGAAGGGATGGAGATGGACATGACGGGAGGTGAGGCGAATGATGAAGTAGGAGGGAGGAACAGCACACCAGATACTGGTTCCGCAGAAGAAGAGGATCGGTCCACGCAGTCTCTGACCTGGCTTAGAGACTATGTGGAAAAGGCGAAGAAGGAATGAGAGCATGCCTTCGACGTTCGGGTCGCCTGCCTGAAACATGCAGAGAGACCCCAGTTGAATGGTAAGAAAAATGCATTTGCGGGGATCTGCAACTCATCCAGCCAGTACGAAATGCTCAAGAAGGAAAGAGCTGAGGAATTCTATGAATTTGTTGCTTTCAGGTATGCAGAAAAGAAAAGGGTGAGGGGCCAAGGAACAGTGGACAAAGACAAAACCATCCCTACAACCAACGATAATTTCCAGGATCTGCGACCTAAGGCAACGAAAACAGGGAAGAACCAGAGACGGAAAGAGACTAACAATGAACAAGTTGAGGTCGAAGAACAGTCGGAACGCGTTCTTCTGAAAAAAGAAGCGGCTGTTGTGTTGTCTCAAACGGAGAAGCTGAGAAAATGGAACAAGGAATATGCCTCCGAATTCACATCCATTGCTCAGATTGCACGAGGGGAGGTCCCAAGGGTGATTGAGGCGGCTAGATCGGCTCGTAGGACGCTAAGGAACATTCGGCCCCTTATCACAACCAGGTACGTAAGGAAGGCGAAGGAATGGCAAATCGCAAAAGATGTAGCCTTCAAGATCCCTCACTTCGTAGAGGGCGAGAACGGGATCAAACTGTTGAAAGGGAAGGTTACAACGGAGGCTCCGTTGGGTCTGTTTGAGACTGTTACCATTGAAGAGGAGCAGACCGTCCTTGACACACAAGAGGAATCAGAGAACCCTCTCAAGAACTCAAACGAGACGAGCAGAAACTCCCCAAGGGCCTTTTCACCATTAATAGCCAAGATGCCCGAATCAACACAGCTGAGACCAGGGATGATCTGGAAACCTTGGAGGACAGTGACCGAGGTGCCCTACAACATCCTAACAGACATTGGCATCTCAACAGAACTGTTGGCTACAGTTGTGGCCCAGATTGTCAGGACAGGGCAACTGGAAGGGGGCGAAGACCTGGAATCCAAAGCCCACGCCATCGACTGCGAAAGATTCTACAGGAGTGACGCTTCGGATGTCGGCTCGGATGCCGGCTCGTGTGAAGGTGACGATGAGCAGGATGGATTGGGCCAGTACCAGGAGTTAGAAAAGGATAGCAGCAAACAGGTAGAGCTGGACGGGGTGAACGCCGTGGGGGACCTCGCGCTCTCCCCACTTACGGGTAGTGAACCGGAGACCGTCCATGAGGCTTTGGGTGGGGATACGGACAAGGAAGACTCGCCTACCTAGACACCCTTTCCAGCAACTGAACCCCCCCTACCTGGGTGATCTTGACCGGTTATCTCCCTAACTTATCTCAGCTGCTTCCATGGAGAGCTACAGAAGAAGAGCGAACGAGGTTGGGGACTGCATTGACTGGAAAAATCAAGGTTTGGTCCTTAGAAGCTGGAATGTCAATGGTCTAGGGAACATAATGGAAAGAGAAGAAAAATGGAACGACTTGGTGACCGGGTTATCGCTGGGCAATAGGAAAATAGTGGACATAGTGCTGCTTCAAGAAACCCACCTCACCTTTTCTACAAAACACAACAGAATTCACACTTTCATGGCAAGGAAGTTAGGCGGCCTAAAGGATGAAATTTGGTCTGCTAACCCTGAAACAAGCTCTAAGGGAACAGCCATCCTGATTCCCAAATCCTCCCGTCTATATAAAGCAGGCTCAATTCTAGATAAGAGAGTCGATCAAATGGAAGGGAGGTGTTGTGTGTTACACCTGAAATGAAAGGAAGAGGAATTCTTACTCTTCAACATTTATGCAACGAATTCGCCAACAGAGAGGAAGACCTTTTTAAGAAATATCGAAGACCTGATCCCGCCACTGACCCCTTGTATCCTGGCAGGAGACTGGAATGCTACGATAGACCCTTCAGTAGACCGTATATCTCGGTCTTCCAACACCCAAAACTCTTCTGAAGCTATACCAATTCAGGAATTGATGCTGGATCACAACCTGGTGGACCCTGATAGAATCTTTCACTCAGACAAGAGAACCTTCACCTTAGTCAAGAAAAACCATGCTAACCATACGGCCTTCTCACGAATAGACTACTTTCTAGTATCAGAAACCATGATGGGGGCCGTCAAGAATGCTGAAGTGCTACCTTTGGCTCCATATTCGGGACTGGATCACAAACCAATCGAACTGGTTATTTGCTTTGATCAAGTGGTTAAAAAGGGAGGCAGCTTCCACAAGCTCAATAATTCTCTCCTGCTGAGCCAGACCTTCCAAAATGAGGTGTGTAACTATTGGGAGGGACAGAGGTCTGCGCGCCTAAGCACTGATCATCGATGGGAATGGTTTCAAAAGAGCTATTCCAATCTCTCAAGCACCGTGGCCAAAGTCTCTAGGAAGCTAGCATCTGTAAGGAAACAGAGGAAGCAATCACTAGAATTTGCGTTGAAATTGGCAGAAACCAACCTGGTAAACAACCCCGCCTCACCTCTGTATAATGACCTGTTCGACAAGGCACGAGAGGAACTGGCCATGTGGAAATGGTGGGACCTGAGAGGCCTTCAAATAAGAGCGAGAATGTGCGAATACGAACTCAACGATTCTATGACGAAACACTTCTTTGCCCGAATCAAGGCAAACTCGAGAGCTAGCACGATAGAAGGTCTGAGGTCCCACACAACTCCGGAAACTGTGAGATCAGATAGCAAAGGTATGCTAAAGATAGCTATCAATTTCTACAAGGACCTCTACCACTCCAAGACCGAGATTCCGATACCCCCCAACATTAGAGAGGCAAGGCAGAAAATGCTACACTACCTAGAGCGAATAATATCAGCTGAACAGGTTGAAGTGCTCGACAAACCAATCACACTGGAAGAACTACATCGGGTTTTACAAAGCATGTATAACAACACGTCCCCTAAAATCGATGGATTAACAAAAGAGTTTTTGGAGAAATTTTGGCCCTTGCTAGGAGGTGACCTGCTAAACTTCTATAATGACAGCTGGTCCAAGGGAGGGCTGGGCAATCTTCTCAGCAGCAGCGTGGTCACGCTACTTTACAAAAAGGGTTAGAAAAACGACATCAGGAATTATAGACCCATATCGCTGCTAACTCTTCCATATACAACCGGATTACCAACAAATGCTTCCACATCGACCAAACATGTTTCATCCCGGGTCGCTACATTCTAGACAATGTTACGACACTGAACGAGTCGGTAAGAAAAGTCAGGGAAAGAAAAATAAACACTGCCATTCTCTTCTTTGATTTTGAAAAGGCATACGATCAAGTAAACTGGGACTTCATGGAAGCAAGTATGGAAAGAATGGGAGTTGCACCTAACTTCAGAAAGTGGGTCCGGATACTGTACAAAGATGCAGTAGGTTGTGTCCAAGTTAATGGACTACTGTCAGATTGCTAGGGAGTTGGACCTAACTTCAGAAAGTGGGTCCAGATACTGTACAAAGATGCATTAGGTTGTGTCCAAGTTAATGGACTACTGTCAGATTGCTACCCGATCTTCCGCTCAGTCCATCAAGGGGACCCGTTGGCCCCATCAATCTTTCGATTCGTAATGGAGGCAATCGCATCCTTCCTCCGTAAGGATCCATCAATTCAAAGACTAGCCAGCACCGACGTAGGATCAGCCCACCAGATGGATTTTCCCGCAGCTATCATGTTTGTGGACGATCTAACGGTCCTAATCAGAGCGTCTGATTCCTCATTCAGGACACTAGCTAAAGCAATGGAAGCATTTAGACTAGCCTCAGAAATGAAGATCAACTGGGGAAAAACATTTGGCTGGTGGCTATCCGAGGAAGAGCCACTTTCACTCCAAGGCGACGAGGCGGCTATGACATGGCAAACGCCGGACACACCCACCCGCTATCTGGGCATACTAATGACGAAGGAAGGACTCGCTCCCCAAATGGGCCCATCCATGCTGGCGAAACAGATCAATAAAATCGGAAGGTGGGGCAATGCCTTCACGTCCCTTATTGGTTGAGCGCTAGTCCTCAATACATCGGTCTTTTCAATGATGTGGTACATAGCTTCCATTTGGACAGTCCCGGACAACTCGGTTAAGGAGCTGAACCGAAGAGCTAGAATTTATCTATGGACAGGAGACCCCAACAAGGACAAGGGCATATCTAAGATCGCCTGGCACTATGTTACAAGAAGGCCACGGAATGGAGGCCTAGGAATTATCGACCCCGGAACAAAAACGAAAGCCCTGCAAGTCAAATGGATCATCAAACTGCTGATGAAGCCGAACAGCGCCTGGAATAATTTGACGCTGGATAGTATCAGATCTGTGGCCGCAGTTCCCTCCCCGAACAATATGTCAGGTCTGTTTTGGGTAATGAATAAAGAATGGGTGATAACCACAGGACGTAGGAATCGAACGAGGAATAACAGACTCGATGACTGTCGACCGCCCACGCCTTACTGGCCGGCACTACTCCGATCCTGGAGGAAAATATTTCCCAATAAGATAAACAGACCCAAATCCAAGGATGAAGTACTAAGGCAACCGCTCTTCGGGAATGAATGGATAACAAACGAGGCGGACAACCCACTCTTCCTATAACAGAGGTGGTTGTCCTGGATCAAGAACGATATCTGGAAAGTTGACCACTTATGGAAGGAGGGGCTGGATAACGGAACAAGAAGTCAGCTCCCGACTGAAAGGATGCCACAGACGAGGGACCAATCTCCAGTATATACTTAGTTGTATCCCGCAGGAATGGAAAGATATCCTGGTAAAAGACGAATCGTGGAGACCGGGTGAGTGGGGACTTATGATTCAAGACGTAACCCCCTCTAGAGCCTTTCAATTCTCCCATTTGCAGCAAGGCTCACACACTAGGGCCACTTTCCTCTCTTTCCCGATTTCCCTCACCAACACTGGTACGCCAACTATCTGGAAATGCGATGTAGAGTCGTCAATCTTAGAATCCTTCCTGCTCCGGAAAGTAAGGGTCCTAGGGGCATGGCCAAAGTCAGTCTTCACACCTAATACTGCAATCCGTAGCTTGGAGTTCGATCTAGCGGAATGGGCGTGGACGCCAAATAGGGCCAGCATCATTAAGACCAAAATTCCAATCCAGGATTACACAGTCAAACTTGGGTGCAGACTGTCTCTAAAGACCAAAAATCCAGACCCTATTATCAAAAACAGATGGCGAAACCTCGTCGAGCAGGAAGCAGACAAAATCACACGAATCCACTGGGAAAAATTCAAACGCATCAGACCAATCAAGATTAGAAGTTTGCAGTGGCTGATTGCGTACGCAGCCCTACCAGTGAACCAATGGCTACACACTAGGCGGAAAGCCGCAGACCCCAACAACTCGGAATTATGTACAGTCTGCACCGAAGGCGTTGTAGAAGAAATAGTTCACTGCCTAGTGCTTTGTGAAGAGGCTATTGAATACTGGGCGAGAGCTTCATCACTCTGGGACTCCCTCTTCACATCTCCCTTCCCCGAGAAACCCATTCAACTTCTCCTCTTGACTAACATCCCTGATCAGGCGCAAAAGGCAGAAAGGATCTGGTTTGAACTCGTCAGGAAAGTGACCCTATGCGTCATATGGAAGGAGAGATGCAGCAGGACAATTGAGGGGCGGTCTAACCCACGGGAGAAGGTGTGGATAGAAACCAGAACATTGATACAAGCTGAGATCCTCTGCAGATGGCGGAAGACCAAACAAGCTTGGACAGAAGACGAAGAGCAGCGTAAGAAGGAGAGGCAAAGATTCTACAGGAATTGGCTGATAAATGGCAAGATTGCAGAATTGCGAGAGGACCGGGTATGCTGGAAGGAGTGACACAATTCAATACCAGAAAGAGGCTTTCACCAACAGGCAACGTCTGAGGGCATATTCGCATTCTAGGCCTCAATCGAATGTAAGCGGCCCCTCAGGGGCCCAGGGGGTACGAACAAAGAGGAAACATGGGAGAGAGAAGGACAAGTTGGAGTAGGTGAAAATACGGGAGCATGAATGCGGGTTACAAAGGAAGGCTTTATCGCAGGGGGCCGGAAGCAAATCAATGCCTTCCAATGTCCAAGATCGACTATTGGAGGTTGGGCGCACAGGCGAGGGGTTTACGGTTTAGGGTTTTATCGTAGATCTTCCAAAGGGGCAGGGAGGTGTGTGGGGAGGAAAACAGGTCGGCAAGGATAACGGATGAACTCTTTCTAGGGACAATGGAGCTATCTGGCAGACCTGGACTCCAGGTCTGAGAGGAAAGAGAGGGATAGGGCAAGCTGACAGTCAATCCTCCACCGCGGTGGAGCAATCAATGCTGTTCAGGGATCCTTCGGTCTGACGGAAGGAAGCGTGTGTGAGTGTTCTTGATGTAATGT